TTGAGAGGGAGAAATGAGGAGCAGCGTCCTCCCCGCTTTGGCCACTAGAGGCTGCCGTGTGTCCCTCCTCTGAAGTAGGTGGGCCGTGGGTGGAGGCAGAGCCGGGATACCGGGGTAGATGGGCCCCTGATGGCTGTACTTACCCTCCGGGGTTTCCCACCTCTTTTTAACCGTTCCTTTTCCCACAGGAGGGGCGGGATAAGGTCTTCTTAGTGACTCAGATCACGGAGCTCAGCTGAGGAGAGAGCTGCAAGAAAACGCCAATCTCGTTGATATGAGGCTGACTCTTGACCCTGCCTTGTCGGACCCGTCCCTCCCCTGCCATTCGCCTGTGTGCCAAACCCAGCCCCTGCTGGAAGAAAACGACAATAACCTCCAAAGAACCCAGAGCTCATTCATGGACTGTGTGTAAGAATCACTCACCCGGCGCTGAGCTGCGGCCCCTCTGGAGTGGGGGCCCGGCACAGACACACGGCCTCGCTGGGATGGGGCGCAGGGGCTGTTTATACAGAGACCTCTCGCCTGGCACTGAGACATGGCCCCTCTGGAGTGGGGTGTGGGGTTGGGTTATACAGGGACCCCTCACCTGGCAGCCGCTCTTTACTGACACCCAGTGACGCTGTTCAGTTTAGGACAGGAAGTGAAGCAAAACCCTGTGTGTGACTGACATCCCAGGGGGCTTTGCAGGAGGAGAAGGTGGAATTGCTTGTGTCTGAAATAGGCTGGGCTGCTGGCCTTCAGGCCCCAATTCTCACACTCTCCATCCTCACGGCCTCCGAACGGAGCACACAACGGGTGAACCCCTCGTTACTGGCTGGCAGCAGAACTCCATTGTCGCACTCCAGGGCAGCTGCATTTGTATTCCCTGTCTACCGGTCCCCGGCTGTCACCCCTCTTGGGCAGAGACCCGCGTCTCTCTTCCCTCCCTGAGTGGGGTTTTCCAGGCTGGCCACCTCCCTGCCCAGGCTCTGATTTCACCGCGCCCACACGAACCTGCAAAGCGAGATTCCCATCAACAATAATCGCCATTTACAGCTCGGCCAAGTCAGGGGAAACCCTGCTTGAAAACATAACAGCGTTTGATTTAAGGCTCTTTCCTCGGTGTATTTCGACATGCGATGCTGACAATTTAACGGCTTTTAAAGCTGTGACTTTTTGAGTTTCTAACATGCTGTTGATAAATCATTGTCTGACTCCCCCCTCTCCCTGTTCTCTGAATCTCCTGTGATTTTCTGCAACTGGGAAAATTTTAAATCTGAAAAAAAAATTCTTAAAAATAAAATGCTAGTTTTGGTTTAAAATTATAAAATAAAAATTGAATTCTGCCAGGCCCATGTGTAAGTAATCCAGGGGGCGGCGGAGGGTGTGGGGGCAGCTGGTGTGCAGGGCTGGAGGCAAGCAGCAGTGGGTTTGTCCTTTCCCCCCCCAGCCACCTTCACTATCTCAGCGTCTGCTCCGTTCCCTCCGGCCTGGCCGCATGGGAGACCGTGTACTTCTGCGTGTGCAGAGTGCACAAGAACGGCCGTCGGGGGGCAGAGCAATGGTCCATCCAGCCCAGGATCCTGTCTCTGTCCGGGCTGCTCCTGGAGCTCCGGGGCGGCGCACGGCGCAGGGCGGCTGGCAGGAGCGCCGCCAGCTTTTCTGCCGCCCTAGGCGGCGGAAGGTCCCGCCGCCGAAATACCGCAGCTGTCGCCGCCCCCCGAATTGTAGCGCCCTAGGCGACCACCTAGGTCGCCTAATGGGTTGCGCCGGCCCTGGCAGCTGGGGAGAGATGCAGGCTGGACTTCCCCGCCCGCAGTCGGAGGTGTGGGGAGGCCCCAAGCTGGGGGGGGGGGGGCGGGGAGGGGTCAGGACCCAGGGAGGGACGGAGGCTCCCTGAGCGTAGCCCGGCCCGGCCCCACGTCCTGTGGCGGGGAGTTCCGCCGGCTCGGGGCGGCGGCCATGCTGCTCATGCGGGGGGGGACAGGAAAGGACACTGGGACGCTCCACTCTGGGGGGCGCCAGCCCCAGGGTGTGGGGAGGGGAGGTGTGAAGAAGGGGCGGGGCCTCATCCCAGCCAATCGGCTACAGGAGCAGTGGGGGTGTGAGGTCGGCTTGGACCAATCAGTGCTTTGTGTGTGTGTGGGGGCGTGACTACAATGCACCAATGAGAGACAAGGGGGCTTGAGCAGGAACCAATCAGGTAAAGCGGGGGGGGGGGGGTGAGTCTCCAATAGGCCAATCAAGGCGCGAGGGCGGCCACGGTGTTATCCAGTCAGAAAACAGCAGGCTGCGGAGGGTGAGTCTAGACTAATCCAATCAGGAAGCGAGGGAGGGACTAGGGTCCGCCAATCAGAGAGAGACCAGGGCGTGTCAATCAGTACGCCAGCAGGGCGCTGACCCGGAAGCGGAAGTGGCGCCGCGCAGTGCGGACCTGAGGCGGGACCATGAACATCCTGCCCAAGAAGTCGTGGCACGTGCGGAACAAGGACAATGTGGCCCGCGTGCGGCGGGACGAGGCGCAGGCGCAGGACGAGCAGCGACAGCGGGAGGCCCGGGCCCTGCTGGCCGAACAGGAGGCGAGTCACCGCGCATGCGCAATCGGAAACGAGGGTGTAGCGAGTGCTTATGCGTTAACAGTGGGAAACCGTCCTCCATCATGTGACGGGGTCACGGATTGAACCATTGTCAAATTGGGGGTGAAATCGGGGTTGAACCATTTCTTAATCGGGGGAAGACGAAAAGGGAGCTGGGCTGAACCATTTCTAAATGGGGGGGGAGGAGAGCGCTGGGATTTACTATTTTCAAATGGGGGGAGGGGAAGAAAAGGAAATGGGAGTTGGGCTGAACCACAACAGGGGGGAAGCAGAGCAAAAGGAAGCTAGGCTGAACCATTTCCAAAGGGAGGAAAGGGGAGTTGGGCTGAACCATTTCCAAAGGG